TAGGAATATGAAAAATATTTAAAAATGATATATGATTTTAAAGAATTTTCTCCTTAGAAAGGGAACTATGGGTATAAGATTGATTAACACTAGTATAATTAAATCCCAGTTCATCGAGAAAGAAACATTCACTTTTTTCTATGAGTGGGTATGTAGCTTTTTACAGGTTCATCAATTTTTTTTAAATGAACGAAAGTCTACAAATTAAAGCTGGAGCTATATAAAAAAAAGAACAATAACTCCAAAAAATAACTCTTCATGTATGACAATTAACTCGCTTAAAACATATTAGAGTTATTTCCCGTTAAGTGCTTCAAATAGGTGATTAGAATTTTCTTTCATACAAAGTTTGACCATAATTTTGTTTTTTTAATTATATATTCATCTGTATTAAATGTGTAATCCTACTTTCTCAAGTTCATGGATATTTTGTTTTCTTTTAGTTCCAACTATTATTCTTATTTTTAATTTGACATCCCAAAAATTAGAGACCAGTTTACGTATATAAAGTTTACTAACTATTCCTGTGTGTTAATATAAGTACAAGTCAACAAAGTGACTTAATTCTGAGTAACTCGCTAATTTATCCCCTCCTTATGTGGGAGTGTTGACTTTCGGAATTCTGTTGACTTTTTCCTTCTTAGGACATCATTTGTTTACTGACCATGACGATCAGAAAAACCGCTGTATTTAATCATACATTAATGATATTCTATTTCCTCTTATGTGGTCTTTTATTACTACATCGATGTTTGCATTTTTTAGTTAAACTGTCTTTGGTCTTTAAGAGGATTGCGTACTCAATTGCGCACTCCTATAGAAATATAGAATTAACATTTAGCCTTTCGAAAACGTTGACAAATATTCTACTTTGCCATTACATAATTGTTGCATGTATATTGAAATCATCTCTGATTTTTCTCAAATGAGGTGGCAAAGTTTTTTTTAAGTGAGGATGTGTTGTTTTAATGCTTTTTATTTTACCATGCTTGGTGTACAAATTCATGCCGTAAACCATAAGCCCTTATTTACCTATGCAAAGTAAAACCCTTGTGTATGATATTTTACATTGTCAAATTATGTTTATCATTGCTAGAAAATATTACCCTTAAAGAATATAGCTTTTGGCCCTCTCTCGACAGATAAAATTAAACTGTTCTAGATGACAGTATAATACTTAAAAAGTTGAAGATATTTTAACTTTTTCAGTATTATACTTTCATAGAGAATAGTTTAATTCTATTGGTCGAGAGACATAGAATTAAACTATTCTATATGAAAGTAAAAGTAATGAAAAATTGAAGATATTTTAACGAACAGTGATTGATTAGTTAACCTTCAAAAATTTCAAGATATAGAATCGGGTGCAAAGAAGGAGTACACTTTGTTCACACCCATTCTGAGCCAAATATATAGATCAGACAGACGGAAAATCCCGTTATTTCCCGATTTTGACAAGGAGCACGCGGCGGGTGTGACCTGTCGGCAGGGGATGCTCACCCCTCCATGGCACCTGATCCACTCCTGATTTCTTGGGGTAGAAGTCTGTGTTTGCTCTGCTTCTATTTTGTATTGTTTTATGAAATTTTGATCTTGAATACTGTTCTTTATCTCCATATATTTCCTTCAAATTCAGTGTAAAATCATAGGTCTAACAATTGGTAGGACAAACACATGTGATCAAGTTAAAAGGTAATATTTGCGAACATGTATTAATTATAACGACTACATAAATAAAGAAAATTGACGATGGAAAAGCCAAAGTGATCATGTTTGTCAAACAATTTATATGAATACAACTATATACTCACTATAGAGTCTGGTTAATTGGAATTAGGTTCCATTTCTGACATATCCAAGCTAATGTCACTGGTAATTAATGATTTGATGAATATTATTAGACCCAAACTTAACCAGTTTAATGGACCATGGGATTGATTCAATCAATCATTTGATTAACTTGTTTGACTGTACTCATAGATTCATCAAAATATTTATATATCCAACTCCACTGTTTAGTTAACTTGTTTGTAGGGAATGGGCATCGCCAAATATTTCGTATCGCGATATATCATGATTTTTTCCCACAATATCACGATAATATCATGATATTTTTAAAGCAGTTTTTACAATGTTTTTACTTGAAAAGTCATTATTTTTCTAAAAAAATATGCTAGAAAAACAAAATTTTACTTTCTTGAAAATTTTATGTATATAAAGTCAATTATGTTTGGACGGTAAAATGCCGTTTTTTCACTTTTTACAACATTTTTTATACTTTCTGTAATTGTAATTTGAAAGATTGAACAAATAAATGAATAATTTCTAGACTTAATAATATGTACCTTAAGACCGGTATTTAGGTCTCCGTATCACGATACGTATCGCGCAACAAAAAATCGCGATATACCGGATACCGATAAAATCGCACATCCCTACTTGTTTGTTTGTTCAACATCCCTTTTATAAAATTTTCACCCATACTGAGATGCCATGAGGGCTACAAACTTAAGATTCAGCACTCAGGGCCATTAAGCAGTGCAGGATGTTTTTTTTAATTGTGCCAGCACCTACTGTGTCACAGAACTCAATTGATATGGTGATATCCCAAGAACCAAGTCCTGCAGTGGGATTCAAACCAGCAACACAAGATCAACTCCTTACTCTTCAACTCTAGAGCAAATAGTACTCGAACCACTGCTCCATGAATACAAACTATTAAGAATATTTTTTTTCTCTATACAACAACAATAGCAGACTTTTAAAGATATACTTAAATTTTTTTTTGATGGGGGATGGGGGGTTAAATTTCTTAAATTTTTATGGGCACCCCTTTCCCGTAAATTTACTTACTCAGTAAACACTAATACACAGGAAATACAGGAAAAATCTTTATAATTAGGCCATTACGCGCAAAGTTCTTTTTTTGTAAAAATTTAAATTTATATCCATAAAGAGTGTTCATCTCATATTATGAAAACAATATAAAAGTGTCATAGTATGTCCAAAAGTTGACACCTTTCCACTTTCCATACTGCCCACTTGGTATCAAATTGTTTAAGTAGCATTATAAGGGTCTTGCCATTAATGTGTGGGTGTTCACTGAATTATTTAGATATCAACTTTGCCTGTCCAGAAAGAATTTTATTAACTAATTTAGTTCAATGTCTTTGGAATTTTATTTTCATGTTCCACCATTAATTAATGTGGGATGTAGAGTTTGTATTGTTTGTCTTCAGTTTTTCCCAGTCCTTCTGACTTTTCATAATACATTGAGTTCAGTGGTTCATGATATTTTAATCAAATTCACACACATTGATACATATTTGTGCAAGTTTCATTATAACCAGAAATATCTCATGACCTTGACTCAAGGTAATTTTGGCAAGTTCAAGATTATTGACAGAAAAAGTATATAATTTATCTTAGCTGGTCATGACTTTTTAGTGGAGAATCACTGGAAGTTCACACTTAACACATACACATTATATAGTTATGACCAGAGGGTCTCTGGCTGTCATGATTCAAGGTCATCTGTACAAGTTCAAGGTCACATTTAGAAATATGCTTAATTCCTGTCCTGGCCATATTCTGGTTAGTGAAAAGATTTGGAAGCTATTATATTGTAATTGACACATATTGGTTATGTCCTAAAAATGTTTTACTACCTTAATTCAAGGGCACTAAGACAAGTTCAGATCAATAGCAGAAAAAAATGTATAATTTATGTTGGTTCTGTAACTGTCTAAAGTAGAAATATTGAATCCAGCAATTTACAGAAGATTGTGGTAGTGGTTTCATTCTGTAAGCTCACCCCAGTATATCTGGTTGGGGTTTTCTTTTTACATAAGACATTACATTACATTTGTTGTTGATTTTTAATTATGGTCCCCAAACGAAGTTGGGGAACATATTGTTTTTACTCTGTTTCTTATTATTATTATTATTATTATTATTTTTCTTCTTCTTCCTGGAACTTTTTTGTCCGGGAATGATCTTGTAAACTATTCGTCCGATGTAGGTAAAACCTTTTTAGGGTTAGTAGACATGTTATGTAGATTTGCGGAATCAAGGTCATTTTGCGCGCACGTGCTTGCAAGAGCGTGCACGTGCAACACGTGAAATGACCAATATAATAGATATAGCCACAACTGTTCTATTTTTGGATGAAATGCTTTGAAACTCATAATGTGAGGATATATTAGTAGTATAGACATGACGACATGGTGAAAATAGCAAGATCTCACGCGCATGCACGTGCACTTCGCTCTGATTGGCTGCAACTAAAGTCTCAATATCTTTCTTGTTTTTTGACGAAATCCTTTGAAATTTTGAACATAGCCATGTATTAGGATATCCTACAACAAGAAATAAAGCAATTATCATGAAAACACGTGCATGCACGTGCGCTGCAATCTGATTGGCTGGAACTTTAAACAGCTATATCTCCCTTGGTTTTCAACCAAACAGGATGGGATTTGGAACATAGATATATAATGGACTTCTACAAGTAGGTATGCTCACCATGCACATACATACACGTGTGTGAACAAGTGCTGCAATCTGATTGGCTGAAACTTTAAATAGCTATGACTCTCTTAGTTTTCACCCAAACGGGGTGGGATTTAGAACATCGATAGATGTAATGGACTTCTAACGAAATGAGTAAAATCAAACATACACTTGAATGAGCGTATTTTATTAATAATTTTGGATTAAATACTTTAATACTCAGTGTAATAAAATATAGATTGTGCAGACAAGATGATAAGGTCATGACGCAAATGCATTCACATGTGCACGCGTGAAATGCTAAAGTTTAAATGATTTTTGTACACTTCTTTGTAAATGTTGTTAAAATCTCAGATGCATAGAGTTTGTCTTATTTAATGAAGCTTACAGGGAATATGGCACCAAAAGGGAGTTGGGGAGCGTTTGGGGAACATCTGTAACGATCCCCGTTACAATTAGCACTAGTTACAGATGTTCTTACATTTCAGGAAGGAGAAGGAAGGTGGTTGTCCTTGGACAGTGAGCTGATAATGAGAAGCGGCAAAATCACAGGAACAAGGTTCCCCACCGGCCACACAATACTTCTAGATGCCAGATTTGAATTACCTTATGGTAATTTTTTTTAAAAATAATAAGGTTATATTTTTGGGGAGAATCATAAATAAACTGCACAGATTCAAAAAGGATAATTGATACTGAGTTATACTACACAGAGCAGCTATAAGTTAAAAGCAACCAGGTGTAACAAATAGGAAAGATTTAAATACCCCAGTGTTGATATAGAAAGAAAAGAAATATAATATGGTTTATATTTACAAGTTGTATTGAGCTTAAATTTGCCTAAATAATAATTGCCCAGCTTACAATTAAAATTTTCAACTAAATTTTCAACCACATTATGATAATTTTAAATTCATGCCTATTGCATGGCTTCAATAGAAAATTGCCACTTTTGTAGTGTAATACTACCCCGTCCCCCCAAATTAATAAATATGACAATCTGGCCTATACAATTTTGGATATTAGATACTTATGTTGACTAGAAGAATAAAATGTTACATTAGATCTAATTTTTAAGCTTTTTTCCTGACAGTTATATAAGATCTAAATGGAGTTTTCAGCCACCTTCTAAAGTGTCCGTTGTATGATTTCATAACATGATATGTTGTTAGATGCATCACTTTCTATATTTTTGGGGATATTATGCAACATTTCTACATTCGTCCTCAATTTTTTACATAAAAAATCACATTATTAGGTATATTTAAATTTAGTTTTAATTAAACATACAGCCTGAATTTAGAGCTGTATTGCTGATTGAACTTTTAGTGATATAGGTAAATGGTCTAGTATTCAAAGACAGATCATACCACTTGCAGATGTCAAAATCGATTGAATGCAATCATCATTAAAGATAGTACATATTTATATTTCCCTGTATAGTGCATTTTCATGTATTAGTCTGCACTTAGTAGTCAGTGCCTTAAGGTTGAATTATTCTTGGAATGAAGTATTGACCTACTATTATTCATTATCGTCTTGGAGTCCCCCAATGAACCATACAAAATAATATACCATCCATATTTAGGAAGACGAAGGATTTTTTTCTTCATAAATTAACAGAGCAAAAAAGGATTTATTTTGAGGCTTGTAATTTCATAACAAACTGTGCAAGACAGATTCATGACTGTCATGGGAAAAAGAAATCGGGAGAAAAATAAACTATAGAACTTTTTCTCTCTCTGATGAAATGCAAATTTTTTCCCCCAGCTTTCATTGGTGCCCAATATGTAGGTCAGCAAATGGTAAAATATTGATCTGAAAATTCTTGGTAAACTCTTCCATTTTTTCATCAGATGCAGTAATTCATAAAAAAGCAATTAGGATTAAGTTATAATGATCATCTGTGGAAAGTTGGTATTGTGTACTCTTACAGATTTCTGTTAATGTATTGAAACAAGTTCCTTTCAAGAACAGGATGCTATCATTTAGAGTCTGTAATCAGACAGAATGGGAAAAGATAAGCAGAGAATGAAAGGAGATATGGACCTTTTTTTCAGAGCAAATGAAGAAAAAGGAAGGGAAAAGGGGGTTATAGAAATGAAAGAACTGAATGTTTCATGTCTCTGATAAATACTTTATTGAGACAGGGTGTATTTATACAATTAAGGTTAAGGGGGGGGGGGTCTGTGTTAAAAAAAATCCCATTAATACATGCATCTTCCACAACTGGAATTGCTTAGGGTGCATATGCTATGAGCATAAATACTGATATTTGTTTTCTTAATTATAAAGAGATCAAATTGGAAACACGGACATATTACTGAATTTCAAGTTTTTCAAAGAATTTGAAGAGCTAAAATTAAAAGTAAAATTAAAAACTTTATTTAAAAATTTCCTTAATTCTTTTATACATATGCAATAATTAAGCCATCAACAATCTACTTAGTTATAGCACAGATATAGGTTATCAATAGTAATTATGAAACTTGCCAATTAAATGAATTAATTTACATAATTTAAAAGCTTTATTTCATGCATTTTCTTAGCAATATGACAAAATTTCCCTGAAAGTCAAAAATTTTCTTGACATATAGGTCTATATTGAGTGGGTCATTGAGATCCCCAGATAAACTCCCTTAGAATGGGCAATTAATGTTTGAGATGCTTGCGTACAATTTTCTGCAGGGACCATTTGAGTTTGACCAGATTCCCATAGAAAACATTACAGAATGTAGTTGAGAAAAAACAGAACATTCTCTGTGGTCCCTTTTCAAAAAAAGATTGTTTTTTTTTTTATAATATTTGCTATATAATGCCCACAGATGGAATTGGGTTAGATATGTATGCATAAATTTCCATTTAAGCATTGTCCCTTAAGACCAACAAGGGATAAAGTTGAACATGGTAATCAATGAAACTAAGTCTGATTGCTTGACTGCTTGTCTAGACTGGATTTCTGTTTCATTAGCCAAGGATGATAGAAGTTTATCAATATGCTGTTGATGTTTTCTTTTGTGTAGTACAATCAGGTCTAATATATACAAGCTAGAGGGGGGTATTGAGTTAGGTTCTATTGAACATGTATAAATGCAACCTTTGGCATATATTTTTCATGACCTTTCTGGAGACACTTTGAGGTTAAAGTAAAATGGATATTTTAGAAAAATTACCTTAGTTGTTTCATGCATGTATTGATTTCAGATTTCTTATATGGAGGTTATGGTTTTTAAGAGGAGGAGTTAGTAATTGTATTTTTTGATAGCTGTTTGAACATTTACTTGTTTGTAAAACTTTTAAAAAAACACTGTTTAGACACAGGTTTCAATAAAAATGCAACAGAGCATAAAAAAATACATTACTTTGATCAAATTCTGTTTTCCCCCCTCTTACCTTGTTACTTAGTCTATCTTGATTGAGCTTTAAGGATGACATTACATCTTTATGTTTTTGTCTACATGTAAATTATTCATTTTCTCCTGTGACATCAATAAAATCACAATATATCTGCTTATACAGATTATCTCTATTGTCCATTTAAGGATGTTAAAAATAATGATTTTACATTATAGACCTATTAACCCCTTCCACACGAAGCTAAATATAAAAATATTGATATCAATTTTCATAAATGTGATTCCCATAGCTATTATAGTTAATACGAGACTTATTCATATAAACAGGTGCATTAATATAAGATTGTTCCAATCAACATCCCATGCATTATTGATACAGAAATATTTATGGCCTGACAAATTTTTTAGAAAACCAGTTTGAATTTCCTTTTAATCAATAATGATTTAAATTCAGTTTTTATAGAACAAAATAATGGTCTGAATTCTCAGGGTAAGTTGCAAGTGATTAATATTTTAATGTTTGATGCATATAATGTTTTTGGAGGAAGTTAAGTGATGTGTAATTTTTCAGATAAATGTAACATTTCTGATTTTGAAGTGTATGACTGTTATGTAACTAAAAATTGAAAGGGGATAGAAAGACAGTTATGTTAGACCCTCACTGAAAAAAAGAACGTAGAAAATTGCATTGCTATTGTGGAATCAGTATAATTTCAATTTACAAGGGTGAAAGACTTCAAAAATGATACATGTATTATGGAAAAAATAATGGACACAGAGTCAGAATTGTTTCAACTGTAGTATCAAGTGTACTGTAGTTTTTAAGTTACTGCACATTGAATTTTTTTTAAAAAAATAGAAATTGATAATAACTGAATAATTTATTTATGTTTGATTCTTAATTTTTTTTTACTTGAAGATCTCCCAGAGGCTGAAGCTGCTGAGCTGGAGAATAAACTAAAAGTCCTCAACACTATAGACCAAGAGGTATGTGTTAAGTCCTAAATCCTCAACACTATAGACCAAGAGGTATGTCACTTAAGTCCTCAATCCTCAACACTATAGACCAAGAGGTATGTGATAAGTCCTCAATCCTCAACACTTTAGACCAAGAGTTATGTGTTAGGTCCTCAATCCTCAACACTATAGACCAAGAGGTATGCGTTAAGTCCTCAACACTATAGACCAAGAGGTATGCATTAAGTCCTCAACACTATAGACCAAGAGGTATGTGATTAAGTCCTCAATCCTCAACACTATAGACCAAGAGGTATGTGTTATATAGGTCCTCAATCCTCAACACTATAGACCAAGAGGTATGTGTTAGGTCCTCAATCCTCAACACTATAGACCAAGAGGTATGCATTAAGTACTCAATCCTCAACACTATAGACCAAGAGGTATGTGCTAAGTCTTAACTTTCTTTAGACCAAGAGGTATGTGTTAGGTCCTTAATCCTCAACTCTATAGACCAAGAGGTATGTGTTATATAGGTCCTCAATCCTCAAAGCTACAATTTTATGTGTTAGGTCATCAATCCTCAACACTATAGACCAAGAGGTATGCGTTATATAGGTCCTCAATCCACAACACTATAGACCAAGAGGTATGCGTTATATAGGTCCTCAATACTCAACACTATAGACCAAGAGGTATGCGTTATATAGGTCCTCAATCCTCAAATCTATAGACCAAGAGGTATGTTTTAGGTCCTCAATCCTCAACACTTTAGACAAAGAGGTATGTGTTAAGTCCTATTCCCAAAACTATAGACCAAGAGTATGTCAGTTAAATCTTCAATTCTAAACACTATAGACCAAGAGGTATGTGATAGGTCCTCAATCCTCAACACTATAGACCAAGAGGTATGTCTTAGGACCTCGATTCTCAACACTATAGACCCAGAGGTAATGTGCTAAGTCCTCAATCCTCAACACTATAGACCAAGAGGTATGTGTTAAGTCCTCAATCCTCAACACTTTAGACCAAGAGGTATGTGTTAAGTCCTTGATCCCCAAAACTATAGACCAAGAGGTATGTGTTAGGTCCTCAATCCTCAACACTATAGACCAAGAGGTATGTGTTAGGTCCTCAATCCTCAACACTATAGACCAAGAGGTATGTCACTTAAGTCCTCAATCCTCAACACTATAGACCAAGAGGTATGTTTTAAATCCTCAATCCTTAACACTAAAGAGTTATGCCTTAAGTCCTCAATCCTCAACACTTTAGACCAAGAGGTATGCGTTAAGTCCTCAATCCTCAACACTATAGACCAAGAGGTATGCGTTAAGTCCTCAATCCTCAACACTTTAGACCAAGAGGTATGCATTAATCCTCAATCCTCAAAACTATGGATCAAGAGGTATGCGTTTAGTCCTCAACACAACAGATCAAGAGGTATGTGTGAAGTCCTGAACACTATAGACTGAGTAGGTAGACCAAGAGATATGTGATAAATTCTCAATACTAGATACCAAGAAGTATATGTCAATCAGTTTCAGTAAAGTACTAGTGACTAGATAGTAAAGTGTTGAGTCCTCCATTCTAAAGTTTTTATTAAATTCCAACACTGTAATTCTAGAGGTATGTATCAAGACATAATTGTTAATCCATGGCACAAGAGTACAAAAGGTTACATAACTTGGTCATGTATACTTGAATGCTAAAGTTTACTTGTCAAGAAGATGATATTTTTTCAATTTAAAAATGATTTACACATAGTATTGATTACCAGCATGGTAACTGTCAGTTTCTACTTTAAGTTGTAATATAATTACTGTAATATGTAAATTGTATTCCATATTGTTGAAGTCATGAAATGTATATTCTCATTTGAATTTCAATATGAGTGAAACAAGAACAAATTAAAATGTGATAATTATTAATATTTATACCCTTGTGAAAGATTAACAGCCTTATAGGATTGCTTTGTGTAAAGTTGATAACTAGCACTATTATCTAGTTGTTACAGGTATTTTGTGTGTTATTTTGCAGTTAATGACCATACAGCGCCAAAATACCTACTCCACTCAATGTTAAGTAGACAGATATGTAGGAAAAATCTTCCTAAATCAATCTGTAGTTTATAAAGAAAAAGAAGCATCTAAAGCTTTCATGTTTGCAAGCAGAATAATCACTTTATTCAAAATGGTTTCGTAGTCAATTTTATTGAATTGAAAAAAATTAACTTTTCTAAAGTATTGTCATATTAGTCAATTGATTATTTGTTTGCCATCTCTTTTTTGCATATGATATATAACTTGTAACATTAATTTGACAGCTGGGATGTCTGAAGATAGTGATTATAAGAGTGACAATATATCCTCACCAACACAATGTGTCCGTCAAACAGTTTCCTCTCCATGAACCTAGTCGAGATTTCTACTATAATGGACAGTTTGATTCATTTGACGGAGGGGGTATGGATGATGATCGGCGAGGATCTTTCGACCGATTTGAAAGTTTTGACGAAGAGGAGTCGTACAACGATCATCATTGCCACGATGTTTATCAGCGGGATTTATCTCCGGAGCCAGATAACGAATCTTACGATGAAGAAGAATTGACGCACTGTTCTGAAAGAAGGAGTCAAGATGACCCGGATTACGATCAGGATCAGGATTACTCTTTACAGGGATCCGAATACGACCAGGAGGAGTACGACGACTACGAACGTCCGAAACTGAATGAGAGGAGCTTCAGTGAGGAGGACGGGAGTTACTCGGGAGGAAGAGTGATGAGTCGGACAATCAGTGAAGAAGAGTCCTCCAGTCGAGGACGGATGTATGATAGGGCCTTCAGTGAGGAGAGTAACAGAATGTATAGCGAGGAGAGCAACCGAGATCGACACTCAATGGATAGAACGATCAGTGAAGACAGCAGTCGAGAGAGACAGCAATATTACGATCAGGAGGAGGATCGTAGGCCTTCTTATACGCACAATCATCGGGGTGGTTATGACTTGAAGGACAGAGACTTCGGTCGAGAGTGGGATCAGTACTATCAGGATGAAGAAACCACTTATGTTCAGAGTCGGAGTGACACAGAATCTGAGCACATGTCTTATAATAGCAGACCAAGAAAGAGCAGGCAGTATTCCTATACAAACAGAGGGTAGGTACCATTTTCATCTAGGATTTCACAGGAAGGATATTATCTTCCTCTTCTTTCTTGAAAGTTTTTTTTTTTCATTTATTTTTAGCTTGGTGTGGGTTTCATATATGTTAACCAATAGGCAGATTAAAAAAGAAATCGATAGTCTGTAACAACAGAAATACTGTACTGTAGATCACTAAATTTTCGCGACACCTTATTTTCGCGAGATAGTCATTGACTCTTGATAAGCGAGACAAAATTTTCACGAATTGTGGTTATTGCTCTATATATTCTTAAGGAATACTATTATACGCGAGAATTAAATTTACGCGACTACACTGTCTCGCGTAATTACGCGAAAATAAAGTTCTCGTGAATAAAAAGTGATTTACAGTATATCACTTAATTTTTGCGACACATTTTTTGCTAGATTATTGTTTGTTATTTGTTTGTGATTTTAATTTCTGATTAGAATTAAATAACTTTAACTAATAAGCTATTGAATACTGATAGGTTGAAGCAATTTAAAAGTCCCAAAGTGCTGTTTCTGACTTTTGTCAAAAATTTCTGATGTACTAATCAATGCATGTAAATGATACTAGTATAACTTCAAAGAAAACCTAATGAATGAAGACATTTTGAAGATTGCATATCATACAGAATTGGATGACAAATAGTGTAGAAACTTAAAAATTGCAAAACTGATAACGACCCATTTGGTATGCAAATTTTCATTAAGTACAATAGAATGTGTATGGTCTCCTTCAAAAATGCAAACAAGGAATGCGTAATTCTGTCCCTGGGGCCAAATTCGGAAGAACATGCCCAGTTGACCTTTAGGGTAGATAGTATATCTTGGGCTGAATCACAGAAGAGGTATTTCCAGAAACTGGGCACAATATTGTTAGAGACACAGGAGGCCGCAATGAACAGGAGTTTGTCAGTCCCAGAGGCAAGACCAGTCATTCAATTTCATACAATGGGGGCCCTCTGTGGGAGATTAGGCAATTTTATTGACATTAAAACTGTTTTCTGTATTGAAGATTACTTTATTGACTTGGAATAGGATTAAAGCATTATGATCAATTTTTTTTTCAAATTTATTTTTCGGAGATACCAAAGTTTTCTCATTTTCTCTGAAACTTTAAATGTTAGTGGAAATACTACAAATGACATATTTGTTTTCTTTCTTATAAAAGCAGGAACAAAAAAATGCAGAAGGTAGCAATCAATTTAAAGGGAAATTAAACTAGGCAAAATGTCAGAAGAAAAAAATATGCAATACTTTCAACCAAACTTTACTTTATGGGATGAGCTCAGATCGTTGGGATCTTTGACCCAATCTTTAGTAATTTTCTCTCCAACATCTTGAGAACAAATTGCCAATAGGAAAAGCCCTAAATAATCATCACCATTTCTAATGCCATTTTCATGAAGGATGCAATTACGTACCTGAGGTGAATAAGAAATTCCATGATGTAAATGGGAAGATATGATTTGAAGTGATAATCAAAAAATCAATTGTCAACAGTAACATGACTATACTGGTATATATAATAGGTGTGAAGTGGTACAGTATAATTATAATTGTTTGGCATTTTTCTTGTCTTACAGAAGCCCAGCCAGAAGTGGAGATTCCCTGACCAATACTACAAACATGACCAACACCAGTAAAATCAGCACTCAGGATTTCAGGTAAGGTAATCGTATGTGGGCTGTTCTGTAAATTAGACGCGATTGATCGGGCAAAACTTTGGGACATTTCAAAATTTATTTTGTTTCTGAAAAGAAGTTTGGGTTTTTGATGTTGAAACATTTAAAACACCGCCTTCCCCTTTTAAAAAATCTTTTGAAAAATAGGTCAAACTTGTATGTCATGAAGTAAAAAGTAATAGTACATTTTGGAAAGATCATTTTTATTTTAATGCACTTGTAACAATATATGAAAAGCTCATTCTTTTGGGCACAAAAGGTATTATAGTTAAGGTTAATATTTGAAAAGGAGGTCAAAGGTCAAGGTCAAAACAATACTTGTACATGTAGTTCTCTCATTTGTAATGGCATAAATATATTGAGAATTCAGGAATAATATAGCAAAGCTTTTTGGAATCCCCAGGGAAACAATTATTTTTAAATTAATGGTTATAACTAATTCTGTTATAACAAATTAACAGATATTACAATGGTGAACTGACATGTATAGATTAATAAAAAATTGACATTCTTTTATAACAAATTTTTAAAGGTCTCCAAATAAAAAGATATTGCATTAACTTTATTTTAAAAAAAAATGTATTTTAGCTCTTCATTAATTTGATTTAAAATTTGAACAATGCATATTGCATGAAAGAATTTAATTTATTTCACTTTAAGTTCAGTTCAGTAGAATTTCTTTCTTTCCTATTGGGATCTCTTTTTTTTCTTCATATTGATTTGAAACCCAGGCTAATTCTGCTTTTTTCTGTTTTATTTTGTAACTAAAGTTTCATGGCGTTTGATTGAAATTAGAACCCTGGAGGGTATATAGGAGAGGTAAAGATTAAGACCACATTTTATAGGATTCTGTCAATTTTTCACAGAGTAATAGCTATCATGGAACTAAATTCAGCATATTTGGAAAGCATTCATTTTATGACTTGATGTAATAGCAGTTTTTACAAAATGAGCTTGCTCCCACATACTTGTATGTTGCTAGATGTTTATTTTGCTCCCACATATGTTGCAGGATGTTTATGTTGCTGGGTGTTAGCTAACCTAGCTCTCACACATGTCGCTGGATGTTAGCTGATCTAGCTCCCACATATGTTGCTGGATGTTTGCTGATCTAGCTCCCACTTATGTCGCTAGATATTATTTGCTCTAGCTCCCATATATGTTGCTAGATGTTAACTGATCTAGCTCCCATGTATGTTGCTAGATGTTAGCTGATCTAGCTCCCACATATGTTGCTGGATGTTTTCTGATCTAGCTCCCACTTATGTCGCTAGATATTATTTGCTCTAGCTCCCATATATGTTTCTGTATGTTAGCTGATCTAGCTCCCATATATGTTGCTGTATGTTAGCTGATCTAGCTCCCATGTATGTTGCTAGATGTTAGCTGATCTAGCTCACATGTATGTTGCTAGATGATAGCTGATCTAGCTCACATGTATGTTGCTAGATGATAGCTTATCTACATTCTGCAGTCAATAGCTGTCATAAAGATTTGTTTTAATGTTGCCATTTAAATAAAAGAAGTTATAAAAAAACAATGAAACACATTTTAGGATAGGCTTTTAATTGGCTTCTTGTTCATACCTGTTGCACTGAATATATTCACATTTTGAAATAAGACCATTACTTTAATTTTATTGTAAAAACACCGAGCATGAAGTTCTGTTTAAGCTAGGGGTCAAATTTCTAAATAAGTGTCAATGAGCGCCAATGGCAATAAAATAATTAGGTCCGTCAGTACAGTAAGTTTATACATAACTTTGTAGTATACATTCACGGTGGCCCTCATCAAACAAAGACAGGCTGGCCGGTATTGAAATTGTCGGTGGTAAGGGGGAAGGGGTATAATGGAATTTCAACATTGATTAGTTAGATTAATATTCTATGAACAAGGTTAATTTAATTACATATTGAATAGACATCTTAAGCACATTTTTCAGTCTGCTTAATAAAGAATACAGAATATGTGAAACACTGAGCCAAAGAAACGAACACCAGTTTTTGCTCTTTATTTTTGAAGGTCCTTGGGTCTCCATTTCCTCATATGATGAAAAATGAAATTACATATTGATGGATCAGAAAGTCATTAAATAAGCTACTCTGGCATGGAAAACGAGGTAATTATCTTCGTCTTTAAAGTGCCACAAGTCATAATACTGGATTTATATCAGTTCAATTTCGGCCCTTGATGCTTTAGTCCCAGAAAATCAGCCTGTTGCACTGAATGAAAATTTATGCTGAGCTTTCGTGACTTCATGAACAGAGGGAGTTATTTCTTAACTGAGTTCTTTCCAACTTTTAGGTAATGGATAAATAACTCCTGGGTTTTGAATGGTGTGACAAGTCCCAAATATACGGCCTTCTCTATTGTGTGTACTTTAAAGGTTTAAATAAACTTTTTTCTTACCCTGTTCAAATGAAAACATGGATCATGTGAAAAGTTAAAGGTCGTATTATGGAATTTCTGTCAAGTTTACACTGCCGGAATTAGCTTATATGTGAGAGAAAGCTTATATATAACTATGGAATGTATTTTGAAGTGTTTAGACATTCTATCATAGTAAGTTTCTAGCTTTGTTATCATGGTAATGTGGAGAAATGGTTTTTGGTCAAGTATAAGTGTCTTAAAATTGATTTTCAATTGTCTTTACGGTTAAAATTTCAAAACAGTGTACTTATTTCATATAAAGCATGTTTAACTAACCCTTTAAGTCAGAGATCAAAGGTTTATATAATAGTTGGTGGTCAGTTTTGCTCATTCTGTTCTGGACAAAATCGGAGAATTAACGATAAGTACACATTAGTAAGTTGATATCTGAAAGTTTGTACCAATGAAGAAAAAAGGTCTATAAATGGGGGGGGGGGGGGGCTTGCATAATTTCAAATCACATGAATTTTATACTCCCAATTGCTGTCACCATCTTTGTTTTCATGGTTGGCCAGACATAAAACTAGATGACCAGGGAACTACAAATTTTGCTAACTACAGAGTAGGACAAGGTAGAGATAGTTGTTCAATCGTGCATATCATAAAAATTAAAATTTCTGTCAACACCACAAAACTTTATTCCCATTAAGATTAATCAAACCATAATACTTTGTACTTTGAGGTGGGATAGGGTGAAATTATTCTTGTTTAAAGAATTCGAATGAAACCTCTAACAAGACTAACATACATCTAAAAAGTTCTAATGATGTAATGCAATGAAGGAGCATTTGTATCATTTAATGATATAAGATCAACTTCTCTAAATGATGAGAAAATGTGTATCATTTGTGGATTTAATGGGTAAACCTGTGATTGATTAGAGGTACTATATTACATCATTTATAAATGCATCCAATGGACTGCTACTTTGAATCACTCGTAGATTTGAAATATTTTGGGATGCTAATTGAACACTTAACAGTTGGAAAAAAGATAAATATATATAAAAACATGTGTAATATTCTCATGCAATACAGATTTCAGTCAAACGGTAACTGAGAAATAAAATAATTTCAAATGTAAGCATACAGTTCATATTAATTCTTTCAATTAAATTAAAAGACAACTTAGATTGTAGGACGCACTGGTAATTTAAGCTAATATTGTTTTTCGTACAGATCTTAATTTCTTTTCTTGACTGTACTATAAGATCAAGTGTGCATTATGATTAGATGATGGACAAACTTTATATGCTAATGAAGCCATATATAAATAGTTATGCCAGGGGGATAGACTTTGGCAAGAAGCCTGCATTCTCAAACATGCAGATGGACAATAGACATAGATTTAGGCTAAAGTCAAAGCAATTATTCATTCAATTTTACCACATTAGGGACCCATGCATTCATGAATATATTTCACAGAAGGTGTATTGAAATTTTTCTTTGTATAAACAACTCTGTATATATGATAGTTGCTGTCCATTGCTTAATATTATGAAGTTATTTATAGTCCATATCTCTCCAGTTATGAAAATTCATACCAGAAATGCCCAATTTCAAAATTTCTCAGCATGAAACATATGGAGATAACGAACAATATTCAAGATCAAAAGTCCGTAAGAGAATACAAAATAGGAGCAGAGCAAACAGGTGCACGGACCTCCAAAACATCTGAGGTGGGTTCAGGTGCCATGGCGGAGTGAACATCCCCTGTCTAGAGATCCTTAATACCAACAAATCCAACAGTTCTATAAATCATTTTGTCAGGCATAATCTGTCGGTCTGTCTATCTGTCTTGTATTTTGAAGAATGTTAGAGCTAGGGTATTGACATTTCTTGGTGCACTTCTTGAAAATATGGCTCAATGTAAAATACCAAGGTCACTGACCTGGCGACCCTTAAATTTGACCTTTGACCTACTTTTCAACATACACCATTTTTACATGTATTCCTTGACTTTGAGAGGTAAATCTTTGCTGTTTGAACTATAATGCCAGTATTCAACTGTTAGTTCTATCTACATCTTTAATGATGTGTCATATGTGTATTCAAAAGGAACACTTTAGATATATCTGGTCATTATTCATTGTAAAACAGGTCAACCAGGTCAATTCAAATGCTGCTATGAACTTGCTAAGCAAATAGATGGTAATTTCATGGTGTAACATGTACATCTTAAATTTATTTGGTTAGCCCCAAATCCAGACTCAAATCAATTACTTGTTTAATATTTGGGTTTTAAACTTTCCTGAGAATTAACCCATTCCTTTCAGAAGCTATTCATTCTCTCAATTTATTGTGTTAATGTGTGTAATGATTCTTTTATAACAAATTAATAGCAGATATTAGTCGTCAAAGTGAACAGGAGCAAGTGATAGCCCCCTGGATTACCAGTAAAAAATACCATGAGATGCTTTTAGTCCCAAAATTTTAAAGGTCGTCAAGAGAATTAACACAGAGCTTAATAAGGTAATCCTTTGTTAATTAAAAATTGAGTTAAACTTAAATTTTGAATATGAGTATATACCAAATGTTGAGAAAGGATGGAGCTAGATAATATAATGAAAGTAAGTACTAAATGTTAATTCCCAACTTATGAAGGAAAAAAATAGTGCGCCTTATGAGATCTTGAGCAGTTACTTCTAAAATAAGCGTGATGCAGAGGTTTTGTGAATGGAACCTTTCTGAAATGGTTGGTGTCCATGTTCAGTTACATCTAGGAAGCTTGCAAGTGTCATTGAATCAAGACTCCAATACCAAGGGATATTGATCTGCAATGATATTGCGTATGCATGAATGGCAGACTTTCAGTTATTTCATCGTAAATTTGAAGACAAAACACGGAAGATCACACTGGATTTTGAGACGATCCATTGGTTTCCGAGGAAGAAAGCGTGTTTGTGTCCATGAGGATGACATAGGATCCACATTTAGATCAGAGGATGGATTTAGGATCTGAAGGATTTGGAAGATGAAGAATGATGCTTCATTAAACAGTCATGCTAATTAGTTTTAAAAAAAAAAAGAGATGTTAAATGTTACGAGATAAGGAATTGGGGAAAAAATAGAACTTCATAGTACATAGATTTCTTTTTATCAAAGTTCTTTATGATACATGATTTTTACTTGGGATGCTCACTCCTCCATGGCACCATGATCCCACCTCTGATGTTTTTGAGGTCTGTGTTTGCCCTGTTCCTATTTTGTATTGTTTTTTGACCTTTGAGCTTAAATACTGTTCGTTATTTCCATATATTTCATTGATATCGAAATCTTGCCATCATATGTCTGCTAGAGAGATAACTCGGAAAAATTTTAAGTTTTTTTAATACTCTCTGAATGTTATTTCAGAAAAATTACTTCCTGATTGTAATTGAAATATGATTTTCTTTGATATATAAGGCAAAATGAGATTGAACATTGCTGTGACTTAGTGAGTCAAGTAAAGCTATCCTTGGAAAAAAATCTGTACAAAGTGATTTAAGAGATAAAGTTATATATGTTGCTGAAAGCTGCTGGAAATTGGATAGAAATGCCAAACCTTGGGCAGAAGTTTCTGAAAATCTCTCATTTGAATATGATATGGTCAGTGACATTTATGCAACTTG